CCTCGATCAGTCTGTTTCGTTGCAGGCGTGGAACTCTTTATACGAACTAGCCAAATTTGCTACACGTCCATCCTTAAATTACACTTCATCTCTGGTTGAGCATCAAACTCAAGCGATTCTCGCAAGGCTTCTAATTTACACAGACGAAGGTGAACTGTTTGACACGATGCAAAAGTCCGTGGCCTTGTCCTTCTCGAATATGATGGAAATGTGGTTAACACAGGGCGACCAACTTACAGACATTTGGACGCTTGCAGACGGATACACATTTGCTTTTATACTCAGTCAACTTGCTTTCAGAAACTCCACCGTCAATGGTGAGCCAGATCAAGAAGTTGTCACATTGGTGACTCAGTGGATTACGGTATTGCGTGATAGAAAAACAATGACTCCTGNGATCGTCTGCTCCGTGCCATTAGAGAACAAGCTAAGAGCTTAAGAGCTGCCTTGTTGAGCAGTTTAGATTCGCAAATCTGGAACAGTTTAACGGAATCTGAACTACAGTCGGAAACAGTTTCCGCTTTTCGGAAACAACAGAACACAACACTGATGGCTTTAGTCGCTGGTGTGTTAGATTTCCCGGAAGACACGCCACAAGGCGTGCAATCACGACGCAATCACTGCGCTAACCTGATCGCTCGGACATTGAGTAATGTGCAGAATTCCGAACTGCCGGTGAATCGAGCTGATTTAGAACGATTACATGATTTTCTGAGCCAGGAGACGAACCAAGACATCCAACAGATGAACGAATCTGGGATGACCTCAATCCGGACGGTGGACACACTGGAAGGGATTGAGATAGTAACAAATATATTGAACACTGGAACAATCCACGACCGGCTTGAAGTGTTCACTCTATTCTCACAACTGATGAGCTTGAAGAGATATGCGATTGGAATAGAGAACAGGCTCAAGCAAAAGTTGATTCTTTTCAAAAATATTTTAGCTTGCTTGCTTGCCTCTAGTTCGGATGTGTTTCCGTTTCATTTGGACCCGGTGTTAAAAGCGGATATACTCAAATTTGTACAGCACATAGCTGAGGCTTGTCACCAATCCACAGAACACGAGATTCGCGTCGGATTGACCTGTCTACAAAACAGCATGCAACCTATCACTGGTGAGGAGGATCGCGTGAAAAGAGCTCCATTTATACGCACCAGCACCCCTCTATCGGAGAACGATACTGAGAGTGCGACCGAGGGTGTCACTGCATTGACGAGTTCACAGAAATCCCAAGTAGCCAAGGCATTGATGCTAGCTTTGGCTTGTGCTGATTCCGTCAAACCGGAACAAGCCAGACCGGCGTCCGATTTGCTCCTGCGATTACAAACTACTGACACCTCCCCCGCACTACTCACACAGACCGAGACGGCCATAGCAACTGAAATTTTAACCTCAATGGTCAAGCAAACTGCACCGAATACGATTCACATGCCCTTGAGTGAAGAAAGCCAGTTGGATGTGGAAAATGATTGTTCCACCGTGGCTGAAGTTAGCACTCTCACCACGGAATCGATTCTACTGCCGGCAGATGCACTCCAATTAAACACGTCATTAGACTTGGCATTGAAAAATGTCCAAGTACAACAAGAATTGACCTCGAATGAGAGACGTAGTATTGCTGCAGTCAAACGGCGACTACTGTTTGCTGCAATCCGGGGACAGTCGATCGATATTTCTTCAATGCGACCGTTAATTCATCGTATAAATGACCTGCTACGCAGTGAGCAAAAGGACACCGAAACGGACACAGTTATTAGGCGCTTGGAAACACTGGCCAGGCCTGCTGATTTGGTTTCGTCGGACACTGCTTCGGACGCGGCAAAACATATCGACCCGGAAACATCTGAGCTATTGCATCAGTGTTTGCACGAACAACTGCGGGTGAGACCGACCACACTGGCAACCACTCTACCGGTCATGTCAATTATAACTGAACTGGAAGCGGCAAATGATACACCAGCTAGTACGGAGTATTTAAATGACGAATTTCCCCAATCCTATGCCTCGTTTAGTTTGTCACCGAATGAACTACGTACTGTGACCGACTTTCTCAAACATACCAGTTCATCAGCCGCTGTCAAACTACCAGAGGAATCTGTTCCCATCCCGTCAAGCGAACAAATCACCGCTATTCTTTTGATACGCAGTGCTGCAGATGGTGAACCGATATGGCCTTCAGAATCCCGTTTGCTCCTGTCTGCACTTGAGACGCTTGCTCGTTCAGATCCAATGGCCGCGAGATTTATTGCATCCGAATTAGTCGGTCTGAAATCAAATCTACTTTCTAGTGCAGACCTAGAAGAGAGCATGCAAAATTTGTACGAGGGGTCTGGATTCACACCAACCGAATCGGAAATTGTTCAATTAAAAACACTTTGCACCCTCATTACACCAAAAATTGATAAACAAATTGCTGACCTAATCCGTATTGTCCAGGCTGATGCAACCCAGTCCCGTTCGACTCGTCAACGGAAGCTGGATCGAGCACTTGTAGACGAATTGAGCCGCGTATTTCTACTGCATTTATGTAACAAACCGATTCCCAAACTGCATGAATTGGCTCTGATGAATCGAGTTGCTTGTGCCCTGTCTTCCGAGTCAAGTGATGCCGAGATGTCGGTCCTAGTGGGCGCAATGTGCTCTAATCCGATCCGATTTTCCGAGATGTGGTCGAAAACTGCGGATGCAATGAATACGGGTCAGATTACACGAAGTGTTCCGGCATTCATACCAGATTTGTTGGAACAGGCGCTTAGTCAGGGTGAATCACAGTTGTCTTTCAGGCCCAGTGGGGCTCTTCTTTTATCCAATATTTTAAATTTTCTATCCCTGCTTGATTTTCAACCCGGATGTGACCGTTTGGTCCCCAAATGGAGTTCTCATTTGAAGCGACTAGCATTGCAGATTTTATACAGTGCTCTTTTGAAACATTCTGTTCGTTTGGATGTGCGCAGTCGAGCGCTTCTGTCGATTGCCTACAAATACTACCGCTCCACATTGACTGATGTGTCCCAGGATATGGTGGACGCGGCCGACGAGTCACTGCGTGGCAAGACTGCTCTGCACGAGTTGGACGCACCAAGTCGTGCGAGAGTGGCAGAGTGCCTTTGTGTAGCGCTGGCCAGTCCAATGCGGTACAATCTATCACCTGTCAGGGCTGGTTTTATTGCCAGTCTTGCCGAAGCTTTACAAACCTCCAGCAGACAGGTCACATTCGATGCGGCTGATATGCAACTGGTCTGTGAAACTGTGCACAGCTTGAGTGATTTGGAGAATAAGGTCCGGGATTGTCCAAGTGATACATTCACTTTGTTATCGTGTTTGCAAACGATTGAGCAATTTTTGGAATTATGCGAACAAAGTGGTTCGGAAGGACTAATTCTGTCTAGGCGAGATGCGGCTGTTGTGGGAGCTGCATTGGAAGTGCTTATGAACGTGGCGATTGAGGAAGCCCATTTTGAATCTTGGGACTCCGATGATCCAACAAGCATTACACAAGAATGTCGATCATCCCTCGGTCTGACTCAGTGCTTCCTCAGTTCGCTGGCTATCGGTGCCATTCTTCCAGGGATCACACAGCAATCGGCTACTCTGACCCCGTCAGAAATATCGTACATCAAGCAGCTTGTCAACTACTGGAAACCTCGACTGCTTCTCGACGCACAACGTCAACGTACGGCCAGTATTCGTAAGTTGTCAGTGAGCACTGAGTGTGATTTAACAGCAGATATCACAAATCAACAGTTATCAAATGCAGTACAGCTAACTGTGATTCACGGCAGGATTGCCCAACCACAAGATGCCTGGTTGTGTATTCAAACACTGGAACAGCTAGTTCGAAGTCCGGCAAACGATTATATCAGCATTTCGAATTCGCAACGCGATGCACTACGTTTGGCAATGTGTCCGGTTAGGAGTACCGTGTTTTCTTCTGCCCCTTTATCTGGGCCCCACTCCACGGTCCATCAGGACGAAAGCAATGTTCTACCTTGCATGACCTATTTACACCGCATCCTAACCGCTTCGACTACCCCAACTTTCGGTCATCGCGCACGTTTTTGTGTTCAACCGGCTGATGTGGCTGCGTTTGCCACCAGTCTTCGAACCTTGTTGGACTGTTTTGTTGGTGATCTGACTCACAAAGAAGCGTTTGCCGTGCTCCGTATAATGGAACAACGTATGCGCTGCACGGCTGCCAATTTGGAAGCCTATTGGATCACTCAGTCCGAATCCCGTGCAATTCGGGAGGTATTGCACTATCTGTACAGCAATACGGGAAACGCTGCAGCAAACCAATTATCTCGTTTGCTCGAACGACTGGAACGATCCACAATGAGCATTCATAATGGAACAAAGGCGATTGAACTGGATGCCCAGGAACAAGCACAACTACTTCAGACGCTTCGAACTTTCATTATTCTGGCCCCGGACAGCCTTACTGTTGACTATGGTGAAGTGATTGATCTCATGGATTATCTCATGTACGCTCGCCCTGCTGCACTCACTGAAGGTCATCTATCTCTTCTACGTAAGCTGGTCAGTTCTGATTTACCTCATTTGGCTATTCAAATTCAACGTAACTCCTCGTCCGGACCACGGTTTACCGCGTTGCGAACAAGTTTGAATCATTTGACTGGCCAAAGTCCCACCAGTACTTCGGGTCTAGTTTCCAATACACTGTGTGTCCATCCCCGAGAAGCGGCCAGTCTTTTCTGTGTTCTAAACGCTCTGAATGCCTGCGCCAAATGTGTTGACCCTTCCTTAATTCTGATTCAGTCTGCTTTGTCTCACTGTGTCGCAAACGGACAAATATGGACCACGTGGTCCGCATTGCCTCCGAATAGTCAACTTCGTGTACGTCAAGCCTTAGGCAATTGTGTGGACGATCTCGTCGAACGTCTGTTTGAGACCCATGTCTCCACGTGGTCAGCCCGGGAATGGGCCAGTCTGGAACTGGCTAGAGATAATATGCTGAGATTGCTTGAAATACAGGACAATGCTTTGCTGGGTGAAGGTTTGAACAAATTGCGACTGATCAGTCTTCTTATTCCGGGTGAACAGTCAGCAGGGCAAGAATCGGCAGTTTCACGACCTCTTCATATAACCCGATATCAGCCGATTGCTGGGGAAATGCCTGAAATTGAGGAACCAGATCCCGGTAGTTTACTGGACGCTATTCAATGCCTTGAAATGAGTATATTGTGTGATAACGTTTTGTCTACTCCGGAAGACTGTCTGGAATCTCTGAAGGCTGTGCATGTATTACGAACAGCACCAGAAACACTGCAAATCGGATCGCAAGATCAAATAATCTTACAGGATCTAGAATCTATCCTGTTTGATATGGCTGCACAGTCGGCAAGAAACGGGCCAATGGGCCGTTCAATACGCTCGGAATTGCGTTCCGTAAGGGGACTATCATTTACCGCATTGGAGAAACTGTTGGAACGTATTCAGACTCAGTGGGCAGTAAATGAGGCGAAACACCAAGATAACCGAGGAGATAACACAGATGCAGCAAAATTGTTGCCACAGGAAACAACTGAACAGGACACGTCCAAAGCGCTTTCGTGTGATTTGCTTGAATCCGGCCCGCTTTCCACTTCCTCCACTATGGAGATTTGTCTACCCATGGATGGGGTACATCGTGCTCTCGGACGATTTCTCACCTTGTGTAACACTCGAATCCTGCAACCGGAAGAAATCACCGAATTGACCTCGTCTGTCGATATGCTATATCGTGCAACTAACCAGTTAGGCTCTCGTCTTCGCGGATACGCACAGTTCAGCCCGGTCGAGCGTAACGTGTTGCGTAATTTGCAAATGGCAACAGAACGCAATCACGGTTACACGCTCAGTCCAGAATCGGCAGATATTTTGCAAGCTCTTGGCCAACGATTGAGTACACTAGTCTTGCAGGCCAATCAAGATTTACTTAGAAGCGGTTTGGAGCTATGGCTTACTGCATCAGTGGATGGTCGGTTTGTGTTTGACGATCGAGAGACCCAGCAGCTACACTCGGCTCTTTGTCTGGCTCGGGACACACTTCGCAAAGACAAAATGCGAGCAGCATCGGAAGAGGCTTTGGGCATTGTAGACAAGGTCATTGAACAATTCTCCTCCACAGTGGATTCGGGAATTGGCACAGAAATTACCGGACCATACTGTCTGGGACCGGCTGTGACAGAAGTACTCGAAGGAGCTCAACGAGCTCATGAGCTGTTGAGTGTGCCCGGATCCACTGTGAGCGGCGCTCCATCAACTAGTTCCGACTGGTGTGTGAATCACCAACATTATCGGACCGATGGATTTCATCGACAGGAGCGAGTAACCACCGGGCCGGAATCGAATGCGACGGATGAGGATGGCGTTTCTGATCAGTTAGATACGGATGTGACAAAACCGATTGCACAATTTGCTTGCCCCATCGCAGAGACTGAACCCGAACTGTCCAGAGCATTTACATCCGATGGCAATATATCAACCGTTACGGAAAATTTATCTGGTCGAGAATTAGCAGAAAATGAAAGAAAAGTCGATGACAAAGGTAAAACGAGACGCCACACTATTGATCACACGTTGGACAGCTCATTGCTTAGCGATAGCCAAAAGCCGTACATTTGCTCACCTGCACTTCTTGCTTCTGTGGCAGAGGAACAGAAGAGACTGAAAACCTGGGAAAAACTGATCGAGGCTCGTTTAAGTCATGCGTGTAAGCGTGTGGAAAGTTTGCTCGCCTCATTACCCCAGACGGGACAGGAATCCAACGCGAGTGCTGATGTTTCACTAGCTGAAAAAAACGAAGAGATTAATCAATTACGGAATGAGGTGCTTGCGTTGAAACAACAATTGGCACAGATTGTCAGTCAACTGGAGTCTACCGAACGAATACAGCGTAGGCAAGTACAATTCGCGTCTTCCATGCGTGAACTGATGGATACCCAGCGTCAATTGCGCTCCCAACTGCTGTCTGAAAGAGCAGGTCTCTTCAGTGCAGATACGTCGCAACGTGATGCTGTCAACAGAGAACCAGATAGTGCACGCTTGGCTCGCCTTTATCGAAGCTCGGATTGTCTGAAAGAGCTCACCTCGGGCAACACTGCCAGTGTAATTCATCCGCATCATTCCCAAGTGGTCTTGTATAAGCCAATTGAGTCTGAAATTTTGGATTTGTCCCTGCCTCCTAGATCACAACATCGCTTCTCCTCGTTGGACCGACTGCACGAATTGATCGAGATTCGGCGTGCTGTTGTAGCCGGCTCCCGAGAAGAGCTCTGTCGCCTTGGTGTATACTCCAGTTTACCCTTGCGCCTTGGAAGAATACCACCGTTTCAACGACCTCTCATTCCCAGCGCGACCGATGGAGATGGCAAGCTATGTGCTCGGGAAACGCCATCTGGATCGCGGTTACTCCATCGGTTAATGGAGCGACAGAGAAATTATACAAAGCATTTATTGGGCAGAGCATCCTATGAACAGGATCAGAGTAGTCGAGTCCTGGATGCATTGGAAGAACGATTGACCAATCTGGAGCAGCAAGTAACCTCTGGAGATCCAACATATCCGGCAGAACCGAGGGAGTCTACTAGCTGATCGGATACTCCCTAGAAATTTACTATACCAAGTAAGTTAGATTTCAATGATATCTATTATTGATCGTCGTCCACTTGCTTGGTGTTTTTAATGATTTGAGGCCTTTGTCTACATGTATGGTTTATGAAGTTTGCCACTAAGGGGATAAAGACTGCAAAGTTCGAAACAACGACCACATCAACTCAAAGTCAAATTTTTGTCATGGGCGATTTAAAAAAGTTAAAACTTATCATAAACCATAGGATATTTACAGAATATTTTGAATAACTTTACAAGGAGAAAATAATTATAATATGCATGATCACTTACGGATTTCGAAATGTTTAGTATTTCAATGTGTTATCAAGTTGTGATTTGAATAGTTCAACTGTAGGAGCAAGCAAAACACGGAAAAGAAGAGAATTTCATACACTGCACATTCTAACTGTAAACAAGTGATGCCGGTAATACAGGTGGATGGTCTGGGTCGTTAACTTTAGTGGATGTCCCCTGAGGTGATCATATCAAATGAACATGATTTATAGAATTTGTGTTATATATAGCTGCTCTTTGAACTTACAACATGCAGTGGGATATTGTTCTCTTTTGAAAGTTCACCAAACTGGATGTGGTAAAATAGTTGAACTACCGTAACATATTGAATAAATCTTCAGGTGCGAATACCTCTAGGTTTGTGTGAGGTCAGATCGGTGACGATCATGCCCAGGGATAGGTAAGCATAATAAATGAAATCACTGATTGGGCGAGATTAGCTGATCTTTGAAATGTGGGTGGTGTGATTTGGCAAGAACTGACGGTGTTGGTTGTTTGGATGGCATCAAATCGGTGGGTTGACAAAGCCGTACCTTTGTGCGTAATAACAGTTCAGATACACCCCTGAGTGACAGCTAAAATCGTGGCTGGTTTTGACGCTTCAATTCCTTTGTCACCGGTTAGACACTAATTAACAATCTATCTATAATAGGTACAGCTTATGTGTGTGTGTGTGCGCACGCAGATCTTTTTAGTTTACAACGTCTGTCCGCTAGCTGGGAAACAAAACACACTCTGTCGCGCATTGAAGATCTTGTGGCAAATTCGTCTTCACCCACGTTTGTTATGCATTTCACTTTGAGCGACCAGTTGTTTCTGAATGGAATGTGAAACGGTATATTGCATGTTGTGTAAAGATAAGTACTCACTCTCTTACGGTTTAACCCCACTAGGAGAACTGAACGATCCGATAATGGTCTCATCGCCAGTTTTCACTCTCTGTCCTTGACCTTTCGTATACAGACAGACAAACAGGCATATATATATATATATATATGATGAGTTGACGTTGAAAATGTCATAAACTACTCATTATATTTTCAACACACATCTCCACTGACCAGGACAATAACACAAAATAGCTCATATGATAATTTATGAACAGAGCAATAACAAAGCGGACAGAATTATGACGTTTTCTTCATGTAATGGCCTTCAGCAGGATTCACTGAAATCCCATCATGGCGATTNCGCGTCGATTTGAATAAAATAACCAGTCTCATATGTTAATTTACTGAAAATTCCCATTGTGACATTGACAGAACAACACGAGTAACGAACAAGCTCGTTTTCGATAACTGCATCCTCTGGCTAATACAGTTATATACATTTAGTGAATAAACGTGCAACAAATAATGTCAGAACGAAAATGCGTTGATTGAACGGCAAGGGAGTCGTGAGAAGTGGTTGGGAAAGAGGTGAAAACCAAAACCAAAAACGATTCACGATTCTCCATTCTAAAACCACGGATCAACACTTTATGTTAATTTGTTTGTCGTCTATGCGGCCACGGAAAAGGTGCGATTACAATGAACTATTTTCTAAGGATCCACCAGATTGTGAGATCCGGACAAAACCTGCGCTTGCTTAAAGGCTGATTGATGTGCGAATACTCACATGAGAATCGTGAACTCATGTGGAACCTTCAATGCAGGAATTTATTCCAAAAGTGATTTACCCGAGAAGCTTGAAAACATTCCGAGGCGAACAATTGTTTTCATTGATTCATCATTTAGCCTGTAATGATCAACTAAAGAAATAGCATGTTGAACGGGGGCAGTCATTCTGTTATTTAAAAATCATGGGGATTGATTGAAAGTGAGAGGAATCGTGGGGGGAGGGAGTGCGACGTGTTTCACGCCCCTAGATCACCACAACACTGCAATCAAACTGTGATGCGTCATCCGTGCGATCGATCTTTTGCCTCGCAAGTTAAATGACATAGGCCAATCTCTTTTGTGCACAAGATTGGGTTTGAATAAACGAATGCCGATCACTTCCGCAGTGGCTAGGGTGTGGAGACGCCGTGACTTGGATGGGTGAGTTGCTACTCAATATATAACTTTGAAGGTTGATTCAGGCTTCACATAGTTTTCCGAGTCTGCTAGGTGAACGATTGACATTCATTCGTTCCAACCCAATCTATTGTGCGATTGCTCCATCGTTTCACATCGTCTCGTCCCTCTCACCCGTGACCTTCGACAAGTAAATTCCCTCTGACCCTTTCTGTGATCTGATTGGATCATTTTCCGCGATCTGGGGCGCTTAAAATCCCCCACCCCAACATGAGACTGTCTGATTACCGACTTGTTCGTTTTGTAATGCTCTTGTTGTTACGTCCAATCCCTCCGTGCCATTAGCACACGTTTGCTAGGAGGAGGATAGGTTCAGAATCCGATGCTGATTAAGTGTTGGTAGAGAATCACCACAAGAGAATCAGTTGTGGAGCAGTGCGTCATGTGGTAAATTCCGACCGAAAAATGCATAAGCGATGATGACACTGAACCAACGCTTGACTCGTCTAATATACACGCACTATTTTTCGAAGCGGGTTCGGTAAACAGATAATCATGATAAAACTTTGAACTTGTCTTAATAACGGACAGCAATATCTCCTAATGTAGGCCCACGCAAAACTCTTCTTGATTTTTTCCAACTGGTTGTTTCTGCGTTGAACGATCTCGCTAACTTTGTCGGTGATAGAATTCCGAAAGAAAGAGCAAATTTTACGGAAAAAATTATATTCATATTATAAAGGTTGTTCCATATGTTTTCCATTCTGCATGCCCGTTCAACATGCCATTTCTTTAGTTGATCAGTACAGGCTAAATGATGAATCAAGAAAAAACAATTGTTCGCTTCGGAATGTGTGTTCTCATGTCAAAATGAACAGAGTTGCACAAAATTTAGGAACAGAATTAGGTTTTATCCACAGGTAGTGAGTATATCGTCCCGTATTCTATGGATGTTCGTGGTATGGAATCATCTAAGATCCCTCGTGTTACTGGACACCAGTGTTGGTTGTTGCTTCTGATCGTTCACTTCTTTTGGGGTAAGGGTCACGAGATCAGGCAAATCGGAGAAGGTAACTCACTGGAGATTGCTAATCATCTACAGCCGAACCGATCTACACCCTGTGTGCAAATTTGCAACTCGGCTAACCAGGACGAAAGGGAAGAAACTCGAGCGACTGTGATGCACTTTAGTCGANCATGGACTAGGTTCACCGCTCAGGTCACATGACCGGTGATAAAATGAACAGGATTTATATGCGTTACAACTCACTGCGAGGTTATTGAATACTATTCGCTTAATTTTGTTACTGTGAACCGATGATTGATATGCATCAGGTGCAATAAGATTCGTAATCATGAGTGCCTATTGTACACTGATGCGATCCGGGAACTGATGCCTGGGGGCTGGACGCTATCGCACAGATACGAATATCTATAGCAATAATAGCAATGGTCGGAAGCTCATTAAAAAAATTGATGAATAATGTTTGAAAAATTCTGACTATCCGATCGTCATGATTTGCCGTGCTCTGTGCATCTTCATTTCCGTTTCT